TCAACAATGTTTTGCGACCTAGTTGTAGTCGATTTCAATTCTTATTTTAATTCAATATACGTTGATTTCAAGAAACAAAGTTTTCAAGCGAACGAAATAACAATTTCTTTGCTAATATGTAAAATTAATTTTATCCTTTATATCAATTATCAGACATGAATCAACACCTATGTTTTGGCTCATGGAATGAGCATTTTTCCTCGTTAGGCGTGCAAAATAGGTGAGCGAGATAAAGGTCCTGATATAAGTAATATATTCTGTGAACAAAACGTAAAGTAATGAAACATGAACGGAAACGCAACATTTTAAAAAAGATGCTGCATGCTTCAATCTGGAAAGTTATAACAATTTATAGCGAGATATCAGCGGTTTGTCTAAGTTGTAAAACTTATCATGTCTGAAAAGCCTAGATTATAAAGAAATATGTGTATTATACCAGACACATTGATGTGAAACCAAATCTTATCAGTGATCAAAAATGTTGTTTTTTTACAAAAAATATTTATCTCCAAAAAATATCATTGATCCATTGCGAGAAATTACAACAGTATTACAAGGTAATAACTGAGTTTGTTCATGAAATTTATGATAGGCTAAACATACCTGACTCCCCTTACGCCGACTTTATAGGCTTTTACTCCTTAACTCTTAACGTCTAAGATCCAATGATTCGGTACAATAATATATAACAACACTTAAATTAAGTCACAAAACAAAGTTTGATTTTTCTTCCTATTTAAAAGTTTGTATAGATCTTTTTCTTTCTCGTTTGCTTTAATAAACATAATATGAACACAAGTCAGTTGAATTGTCTATAAGCAAACAAAAATCAAGATGTAAATACAATTCGTGTTAACTTATTATATTTAGACACTTAGGATCGAATCTAGACTGTTTCAATTTATCATCACACCTATGTAAGAGAATCACCTTTTTCAAAAACATTCAAGTTAACAATTAAAAGAAAGTAATACATACACATGTAATTGACATTAAAGGACATCAAAACATAAAGACAAACAAACTTGTGTATTTCTAAATAAAGTTATGATTGACAGTTATCATTAACATTTACATTTTCTGTTTTTCTGAATAAAAACAAATATTGCTCCAAAGTGTTTAACGGGGCAGCATTAAAAGTTTAAAGATCATTTTAACTGTACATATTTCCATAAAACGTATTTAAAACTGTACTTGTTTTCTATATTATATTGTATTATATCTCTTGAATATTTTTTCCTCAAATTGCGAATTGTGGATATATGAAGAGGTTAATGTCATTATATACATGTAACACAGATAGTAAACCCCACTTTCTTCCTCTTTTTGTAACCACACAAAGTCTCGTACGAAATGGTTTTGCATTACACTGATGATCAATCAACGTTTGTTAATTCTGTGAGATTCAGAGATATTTTACAAAATAGACTCAAAACTCTTATGATGCCGGCTCGCCACGGCGAGCCGGTATTACGTTAGGATTTTACTGAGAAACAACCTAAAACTCCGAATCCATCCAAAATTTTAATCGAAGCTTAGCTTCCAGCTTTCTACAAAATTTATCTATCAGAGCTAGGATCCAAAATTATTTAGCCAATCAAATTTGATCTTACATAGCGTCAAAAACCTTTCAATTTCACGGCATTTTTTTAAAAAGCAGCAAGTATTGTTTTGAGCGCAAAGATAAAATGATGATTAAATGTTTGTTTTCATGGTTTTCTTTTCAGTAAATCATAGTTACACTGACTTTGATTAAGCGATTTCACCAGTCCTGTTTACTCTGTAGTAAGTTTCCGCTTGGTTAATTAACATAACGACATCTGGTTTCTGTGCATTTTTTTTTTTTTTTTTTCCTTTTTTCCGGTCATTTCAGGTATTTAGTGTATGTATTTACTGGCCGGGATCCCGGACGCCCGGGATCCGGGATCGTAATAAGATAATAGAGGGAAAAATTTCTAATAAACTATATTTGTGTTGATTATTGTCGTAAATGAAAGGCCATTAAACGTTAAGTTTTTTATTGTATGTAATGAAAGTAAAATTGATTTTAACTTAGGATATAGATATATTTAGAGCTATTTATTAACAAAATCACAATACTTATAATTATATGAATAATTAATTGGAAAAATCAAAGACTATATTCTTGAATTGGTCAAATCCCGGGATCCCTTTATGTTTTCATACGACCAAAGCTTTTTCTGAAAACAATATTCTTGAACTATCCCCATTCTGGGATCTCTTTATTTTTTAATATGATCCCGGCTTTTCTGAAAACTATATTCTTGAACTGGTCAATTTCCGGGATCCCATTTTTTTAATAGGATCCCCGGCTTTTCTGACTGAATTGATTGACAACTTGTGTTTACTTAAGGACTTTGTATCTGTCACTTATTCCAATACTAAATAACATATTACAACTTAACTTCGTATAAAGAGAACATTTTTATTAATTCTACTTATCTATTTTTTTCTGGTCAAAGGTCAACAGGCTATATAGTAAATGTGCATAGACATAGGGACTTCAATCTATCTGTTTACATGCATCTTCATATATACTCATATTCCCTCTTTGTTAAACTGAGAGAACTGGCTTCCTTAACTTTATATGTCACTTTTATTTTGATGTTTCGCTGAAGTCTTTTCAGCTAACAGAACTGTCATTTTTACATTTAAACACGCCCCTGGAAAGAAATTACGAGGCGAGTCGCTACTAGCTTTTTTAAAAGCTAACCTTGTAAACAATCTATATTACACTTGAGTTATGAATATGTAAGTTATTAGTTGCGTGTCTGTTGACAATAAAATACATATATTACATACAAACACACAGATTGTAGTTACAGTAATGCTTCAGCGGTATCCTAAAGACAGCTTCCTCAAGTATTACATCAAGTTTTTACATAGTCGATGAAAATTATCAACAACTTTAATTCTACACATTACAATAAAAACAAAACAGTCAAAGATAAAACATTTTTTGTGAAACAATTATTGTCTTTGTAGACTTGATAGATTTAGGGCTGCTCCATATCTTGATGGCGGAAATGAATATATATAGGTTTAAGTTTATATTTTATTTTAGTTTATATTTCGGGATGCAATGTATAACTCATCAGCAAATTCTTAACTTGAATGGAAAAATGCTGTTTAAAAAATAATTAATTTAACAATTAGCCTATAAAATGTTTTAAGTGAGAAAAAAATAAAAAAATGTGAATTTCATTATATCATTATGTCTTAATATTCACAACACGTAATCAAAACTTTCAAAAGGTGGTTCCTTCAACAGTCTTAAAAATACCTTAAACACAAAAAGTGATCGCAGATTGTCTTGTTGATGCTCCATTAGTACTGTTCGTATATGGTATATATGGTAGATCACGACCCTTACACAAGCTTTATACACATTTTACTTAAGAAATAGGTTTGACATTAATTCATCATACAAGATAACAACTTCACCTTGAAATTTCAATACTATCTTAGAATGTAGATAAAACAGATAAAGCACATACATGTCATTGTTATCCTTTCAATGAATATAATTTAGATACACTAATTTTTCTAAAATAACCAATCTAGCCTAGTTGATATATATACTTTTCTTCATCTCAGTGATGATTTTATTCACATTTTATATTTCAGTCATATAAGCAAGCTACTCAGCCAGCAAGCAGAAGGCCGGCGATCCAGATGTCCATTTTCTAGTGTCGTATTTACAATTAAAAATTTCCCTGACTTTATTGTTTGTGTGGTTTTGGTTGTTTTCATTTTTCATTTATCTCTTTTGTGAATGTTTTAAATGGCCTTACGTAAGAATTTCCACTTACTTTAATACATTTCGGGTAGACTTGGTTTAATACATTCTGATTATGAGTTAATGGGATATACTGTACAATGAACCATTTCCTATTCCCCTTGCACCTATTATCATCCCTCACTAACTATCAGGATTTTGCATTCATCTATCATCAAGTTATGTTTCTATTTTTAAATATTTCAAATAGTTGTTTACAGCAGTAAGTATGCTGCAGTACATATTATCCGTTCAAAGGAGTAAGATTACTATATATTTAGCAATATCTTACTTTAAACCTTATAGAGCGAGCCTGCAACAGTTCCACATTTGTCGCCCTAAGCGATCTCTAACATTACGTTTTTTCTCTATTCTATATAAACTGTGTTTCGTTTTATAATCACCGACTTCAAACGTAAACGGTTCTTTAAGAACTGTCAACAAAACATACTTACAATGTAAGATGTGTACTGTAATACAAAATTTCTGAAGCAAAATTGTATTACAATATGTATGCAAATTCTATTTATTGTTTTACTTTTTGATGCAAAATATTTCTTTTGAATAATGTTCAAGTATTTCCAGAATCAGGTATCGGTTCAGAAATACCAAATGCCATGGATATTGCAACATATATGCCACATAAAGCATAGTTACCATTAAAAAATAATTGAACCAAAGCAAATCGTTTTGACAATTTTTGTTTCGCATATTCATCTGCCTTCTACTAAATATATTTTTACAACAGTCGTTTTAAAATATTGTTCATTAGCATTGATACTAAGTCATAAAATCGTGTAAGCAAAACAGACGCTTCCTATTAGTATTTGAGCAGACATTTTTCTTGTCATGAAATCTTGTAATTTTAACATAATTACATGAATTTGCAGTCAAAAGCTAAACTTACTTAATTTCATGTCAAATATGCACAGAATTGATATTCATTCGTACGTATTATACAAAAAGTGTGTTATACAACACTGAAAGACAATTAAATTCACTATTTGAAGTTGAAATTAAATGTTTATTGTCATTGTTAACAAGGTATTCACCTTAATATAGGAATGAAACTACAATCCCCAGACATTACAAGTTTGCTATTATTAATTTTTGTATCAGCTTTTGTGCCTTGAAGCAACGTAAAGAGTAAGAGTACAAATCATAATCGATGAGATATACGGACGGGTGTAACCTTATGAAGATGACTAGAATAAAGGCTCGATTACTTCGTATACCGACAGCTACCAGGTATAGCTTCCAAAAGTAACAAAAAAATGTTTATTAATAAAAACGACCATATGTTCACTCAGTGGTATACATTACATACTTTATCTACCATATCTACTACAAGTATCTTCATCCGGGTCATATATTTCTTTTACAGAGTCAAGAACCGTATAAAATCCTATTATTGTGCTTGTTCATAATGTTCTGAAACATGAGCGTCCTATTAAGTTAGTGTGTCTTCATTCTGTCTGAATACATCCGAACCGATATTAAATTAAACAACTATCTTATAGAAAATTACTAAAAATAGAAATGTTTGCTGATATAAATCAAAATTATATATTTTAGATATCATTTTGAGACGAAAGAGTAAAAGCGGTTGGTTAAGCATTCTGATCAAAGTTATAGACTAAAATAGTTTTGTCTAGTGATCTCATTGGCAAAACAGTCATTTAGTATATTTTGTCTGTATTTCCTTGATCTGATTTAAGCAGATGATAACAGTGGCATATACAGGAAGTCGTGGAGGCCGCCGTATCAATTTCTAGTGCATCAAAATTAATGTTAACCCTTTTAGTTAACACGGGCGCACGTTTAGGGTAAAATCGTTCCATAGATAACACTGAATGTCATACAATAAATGATAACTTTAAGACAGATAATGAAATGAACTCAATAATATAATTTCATTTAATTATAATCAGATAATCTATTTTTAATTTTCTTTACGTATGTACAAGTATGTTTACACTTAACATGTGTGGTAATTAAAAATGCCTCCTGGTGCAACGTAAAATAATAGTTGTACTACTAAAATAATCTAAGAAAGTCTTAACTTGCTTAAATTAGTGATACTAAAGAATCTTAAGCGATATAAATTACATTGGTGGTCACTGGATGCTTAAGAACACAAAAAAGAGGCAAGTTGTTATTTTGTTGAGCTAGCAAGAGCACATTTATTGCATAATACATGTAAAGGTAAGTTTTTGGAACTGCTTGAATAGTGTATTAATAATTGTACACTATAAATTCCTACACAACTGAACTAAAATAACTTCTCACTGTATATAGTAAATAATGTAAAAACGATTAATTATTATAAATTTAATCGTAATCTTCTAATTGAAATAAATTTTTTACGGATAAATATCTGAAAAAGTGACCCCTCGGAAGTATCAAAAAACAGCAAAATTAATTGAAAAAAGCAGACAAGGTTTGAGCATGCAATATCTTTTTCGGCTTATGATTTGTTAGTACTACAACTTTACATTGTTTGTATGCTTTATGATTGTCTGTATATAAGATAGATTCGGTAAACAAATCATACAGAAACAAGTCAGCTTTATTGAAAAGGCAAACAAATGTCTAATAGACAAACCTTTTGATGTTTCTTTATATCGTTTTGCGATCCAGACACGCTCATACACAGATGTCAAAAATGATTAATTATGATTGTGATCATTGTTTTCACAGACGTAAGCTAAAATATCATGATTGGCTTCGTATAATTAAGTTATGCTATCAGCGGTGACACTAAAAGAAAAATAAATTATTGATAAACAATTTGAAGATACAGAAAAAATCTCCTGACAGCAATTGTTAACCAAAATATAATCTTAGACGTAGTTTAATATAGTCTTCTTATAAATTCATGAAATAAAATGGGTAATGCAACATCTCTCAAGCCAACTAGCACTGATTATCATCCCTCAATATCATGATTTCGTATTAATCTATAATCTAATTATATTTTTAATACGAGTTAAAACCTTGAACAGTTGTAAGAGTAAAGATGCCACAGTACAATAGGTTTTTCATTTATCATTCTAATTAATCCGTTCAAAGGAAAAATATTTCAATGTATATAGCAATAACTTACTAAACACCTAATATTAACTGTCCTATAGTTTAAAATCTAGCGGTGTCTTAAGAACTAACAAAAAAAAACATACAAAGTAAGATGTGTACTGAAATGAAGTATTTATATAGTAGAATTGCTTTACATTATATATGCAAATTCTTACTTTTACGTTAAAATGCAAGATTTCTTTGGAATAATTTCAAGTATTTCGAGGACCAGGTATCGCTTCTGAAATAACAAATGCCACCGACAGTTCAACATATATTTTTCCTAAGAAAACATACCATTCAAACAAAAGAAATTGATAAATGGACCAAAGCAAAGCACGTTTTAACCACTTTTTTCACATATTCATCTGCCTTCAACTTAATATTTTTTATGACCGTTATTTTTAAATATTGTTAATAAGCATTTATACTTAGTCATAAACTTGTGTAATCATCGCAGTCGCTTCCTATATTATCTTAAAATGTATTTCACACAGGATAGCTTTCCTATGCCTAGATCTTTTACGAACAAACGTAAATGTTTTTCGCGTAAAATGTTTAATGGTCTATTCATTCTATTTGATAATTTGATTATGATGTCAATAGATTCATCACACATACTTTTCTGGTAGTGTTTTAATAAACGATAATGTAAGTTCTTTTTTTAATTTACATATCAAGTAATTTCAAGTCCGTTTCTGTACCGGGTATGCAGTGTCCAGAATTACGTCTCAGATATGACATATTTCTATAGAATATATTGGGCGAAATTAAAGTGTGCCAACAGTTCTCAAACAATAGCATGACGATCGACTTAAACAATAAACAAATGCTAAATTTTAATATAATCAATTTTCTTTGATATGCCATTTTGAGCAACGTACATGTAAATCAGTCAATTTTTTGTCATTATGAGGCAATGAAAAATCACAGCTCAAACGTCTTGTTATCCTGTGCTTTATTATAAATAATCAATTTTTCTATCAAGTTCAAAATATTGATAAATACGTAACATTAAGGTAAATCAAAACACTAGCTCAACTAATCTCAATGACTTAAAAAAACAACATCTTATAATTATTGAATATACGGAAGACTTCAAAAGCATAGCAATAACACCGCTAATAACAATAAAATTCATACATTGCAAAATTGGCTTTGTTAAATCTACAAAATGTTGTTTATTTTATTTCAGAATGGTTAATATCCCCTCCGATTGATCAATTTGTTTCACACATTCTATCTACAATCATTTTAACATATCGTCTAGTATAAGAAACGCATCAAATTATTTTGTAGCTAACTAGACACCTACTCTAAGATAATGTGAAAAAACTGTAGTCATATATCTTGTGTTAGAAAGAAATGATACCTGTTGTCATAAATATGCAGAAGTCTAATTAATGTTACTTAGAAATTGTATCTCTAATCATCGTATAACATGTATAAATAATTATTTTTCTTTTAAATTCTGAGGGATGACAATTCAGTCTAAATACGATTTTATAACTAGCATGTCAATGGAAATACCATAAATTGTTCCTGTGTAGGTTAAGTTCGCAGGTGCACTTTCACAATGAGCTGAAACAATCACATTTATCTTCCTATAAAACATGTGTAACATAAAGATAATTTAATTATGTAGAATGTGTATCACTTGAATAATATTGTTGTGAAATATTTTGAAATAATTACCGAAATGATTATGACGCAAAAGATTGTTTAACTACGTTTTGTCAATGAAACGTTTAACAAAAGGGTACAAGACATCCTCCCCACCCCAACGAAAAAAGAAAAAAAAAGGAAAACTGCATAAAATAGAGAAGAGGATATTTTTTGAAGAACGCCTGAAATGGCAATATTGAAAATGTTGCCGACTTGGAAGTTGGCAAATTAAGTTTAAGATTGGCACAATTTCCGAAGTAATTGTGAAGCAATTCTGATGAAATTACAAAAAAAAAAACAATTTTACAAGTCTTAGAGTGAAAATTGAGTTAAGCAAAACTCTTACCGAGATTTAATGGATATATCCTTATCCGAAAAAAAGCAGAGTACAAATAAGTGTTTATAGCACTGTATGGTGTGCAACAATTATGTCTCCATTTTTCCGCATTATACAGAGAAACGTCCCCTATCGTGACCTATTTGATAAAGATAAATTCATCAATTGACTTCAAATCTACTTCTATTATCTTCTAATCATATATACCATCCGGGGAAGTTTTGCATTTGCATAATAAGACTTTCACGAACGGAGTGAGTTTAGCGATAGGAAAACGGCGTTGATTGTACAGATCGTAACGGGGTCTAGAATTTATTTCAGATCAAATAGAAAATTAGCTTTCCTGACAATAAAACATCCTTAAAACCACTTAAACAGATTAATTTGTATTTTCTGGTTTAGATAACACATTTAAATTTCAGCTTTAAATACACACATTAAGACGCATGTTATCTAACAGGTTGCTAAGAAGTACACCTATTTTGAAACTTTGATCCGATTTAGATCAACAAAATAAAAAAAATCAATTTAATTCGTTATTTTTAATTAAACAAAACAATATTCTATACTTAAACCTGTGTTAAATTTTAAGAATGATTTGAAAATTAAAAAATCTTCAGCTAATTTAAAATTGAACTATTTGAAAAAAAAAGAAGAAAAACAAAACTTGATTTTTTAAAAAAAATTGATATGGTAACGTCAAGACGTTTCTTTTTCTTTTTCGCAAACTGTTAAAAGTTATTGAAAAATACACACATCGGGTTTTGATAAATAAATAAGTAAAAATAATAAAAAAAATAAAGAAACTGATGAAAATAAATGATGAAAAAGTGAATAAAAACGAAGTAGCATCGAATTTAACATAAAGTGCAAGCAAAACAAATTGTGTGACGTAACATTTCCTTATTGTTTTCTTCTTTTGATTCTTCGCCTCAAGAACTAAAAAAACTTGTAAAAAATATAGTTTTTGAATTTTTTATGGCAAAACAGCGCTAGTATGAGGCGATGTAAATCATCTTTGTCAGCGACATTCATGTAAATCAAACTCAGTCCTAAAATTATCTTTAAATAGATCTTTTCCAAATTGTCTTCAATGTCACACATATTTCACGTTTACTTTAATATGATGTTTTGCAAGTGGTTCCTTTGCACATAACGACCTTTTCTTGGTAATGATCGTAATAGTAAGTGTCGTTTGCGATGTGTTTGCCATTTCTTTATTTGTTCGCTTCAGCATATTTTACTTTTAAAAACGTTGTCATGGAAATTAGCATTTATCTGGAGGCTGGGCATTAATCATTTAATTATACGTCTAACAGTCTAAACATTAACTAAAAAAGGTCGCCAAAATGGAAGAAGTAATTGAAAACCGTAAGAGGTTCGGTTTGATAGGGACTGTTAATGCTCAGCGAAGTCGAGTCAATGTTAAGTGACAGAAGAGAAATTACTGTTGTTAACCTAATATCAATCTCAAATATTTCGCTACTAAATTCATAGCAAATTGAGCCCATGCCCCTCTAGCATCGATTTAAATAGTAATCAATCTAATCAGATACATGGTTGTAAAGAAACTACAATTATATTATATGAACAACTCAGCCACTGAATAATCATGCAAACTTTTGAGAATCATGTTATCAAGAAAGACAAAAAAAGTTGTTACTAATTTCCAGATGTTTACAAAATGTAGTGATAATCGTTTTCGTAAAAAAGAAAACATGGTAATGTAAAAAGATTTTTTTATTGATTAATGGGATTTTTTTTGCCAAATTGCTAATACAATTTAACTGTTTCATGATATTATTCAATTATTTAGTAAACGGCTACTTGAAAAACTTTCTTGAAGATAAACAATTTAATTCAGGTCGTATCAGCTCTGTATTAATTTATAACATTTTTTTCCGAGGAAGAAATTGTGCAACAAAAATATCAGAGGTGCGTGTCAGATAGATCGTAAGTACCCAACGGTTGACTGTTAAACACGTTTAAATGATTAATGGTCCTTTAAGTGTTATTTTACAAAACACTTCATGTATGCAAAAACAATGAAGTGCAAAATTAATTATGCACTGCAAATGCCTGCTACATATGTTCTTTTGAGAGAAAAAAAAAGTTCACAATATCCTTCGTATGTTTATGATATGATAATGTTTATAGACGCAGAATGTTACAGAATGTTAAAATTTAATGTGATGTATTTTGTATGAATATGGTATCGGAACCTTAAATGTTTTAATGTGCTTGATACCTTACATACTATACCTTTATGTATATAAAATAGTCTTGCATCATAGATCACAATAATGGGAAAAATATGTAGTTTTTTAAATATTTTTTTTCACGTTTTCCTTCAAACTTTTGTTAATTACAATTTAAACAATGAGAAGTGGAAGAAGCTTTGTTGACAGTAGAATCTTGTTAAAATGTTTCAACTTTATTAATTATGTACAACAACTTTAAAGAAAACCATACGTTAAATCATATAAAGAAGACCAACAAGTCAATTTAGCTCTTTTCCTAGACATTCGCCAGCGGTGTCAAGTACGATAACCAAAATCTAACCTAGATAACTTAATATAGACTTTATATTTTTCTGTAAAAGCAACAAAATGTTTCTTCCTGATATAGCAAACGGCCACGAGCATATGTCTTATAGGAAAACTTACAATTCTAGTTCTTGTATACACCAGAGCACCAAAGGCTGAACATATTTCCAATGATGTTAATAAGCCAAACATAAATAATTCATATAAGATATGTGATTCCGATTACTGGGACAAAGTCCCTCAGGTAAGTTTCAAGTATCATAAATATCCTTGTTTAGGAAAGCTGAAGACGTCATTCGACACAATTTGGATACACAAGACAATGGAATCCTTTAAAATCACCTGTGGGTAATAGAACCAAATGCAGCGCATTTAAAATAATAATGTTTCAAAGTAAAAGGACAGCGTTTTTTTAAAAATATAATTGATGCTTTTATCGACAAAGGTAGATACACATTATCCTAGAAGTTCTTTTATATTCTCCTCTGATAGTTGTAACGCTTTTGTTTTTGTGTTAGTGCTAGTGACATTGACAGCAAAAGCACAATTCGGACTTGTATAAAGATATTCAGAATCAAAAATTTGTCATGCTCACCGGTGGAATTCTTTGACAATCTAAATTCAAAAAGTATGATATTGACATTGAAATAAAATGAAGTATTTTGTAAATCATTCTTCCTATACTACACATGTCACTGGATTTGATTTAATCGGTTATAAATAAGATTGAATGTTGTTCCTTCCAGAAAAGCTATAGTCATGTGTTTGTACAGAAAAAAAAAAGATTGATGAATGCAACATTTTTATAATTGTAATTTATAACTACGAGGTAACATGATGAAATGAAAAAAATTGCATAACAAGATAACGACATGGCTTTGCAGCAGCATTGTTTTTTTCTTAAATTTTCTCCAAAATTTAGTTATACTAGTTAAGCTTAAAATGTATTTTATAAAGTACTAATCTAATTTTTGCATTCTTTTTCTGAAATGTTGCGCAAATGATGAGCACATTATTACACGTGCCAAAACGATTAAGCGCGTATAAAAATGCCGATAGCATATCTTTTTCTACGAACAAACCAAACTTGCACAATAATGCTATCAGGGCACTGTTTCGTAGAAATATCGATTATACGCAATTACCACCTTTGTAAAATAAAGATATGACCGAAGTCATTTTACTTAAAACTAATAAAGTAAACCAATCGTGTTAAACAAGTCGAGCTAGCTCCACACTTTTATTAGTATTTTTCATTTACAAGGCTTACATTTGTAGTGTGAAAAAAACTAAACATAAACTAATTGCATATTTTTACGACAACCAACATATTCCAGTAGAAGGACATTTAAAAATTTGCCATTGTAATAAATAAAATAACATTCTTTTAAATTTAAATTATTGTTTAACCTTTTCCCTCATATAAGCGTGTTTCGACGGCTTTTTCCCCCCTTTTGAGGCCTCAAACAGTAAAAAATGCGCTATTTAGGCCCCAAACACTGGTTTTCGTTTGAGAAATTTTGTTAAAAAAAGTGACCACTTCTTCGGCGCGGTCCCCCATCCAAATGTTACATCAGTGGGTTGCTTGGGGTTGGGGGGTTTGAAGGGGCTTTGAAGGGGGACGGAGTCCCCCTCATCACCAAGAAGATTTTTGACATGTGACAGGCTAAAAATGGCCTCAGGTCGATCTTAGGGTAACTAGTAACCGACCCTGAAAAGCCTTTTACTCTATCTCAATTCATTGAGAAGTTGCAGCACTTTGAAATCAGTTTTGATGGGGAAAAAACAATGCAAAATAGTGATTTTTGGCAATTTTGAAACGTCCCCCGCCCGTTGCCATAGTACAAATGTAACAGGAAATTTACGATTGAGCATGCTGTTACAGAAGCTATGGTGTAGTCAACATTTGTGCCAAGTATCATCAGTATTGAAGCATTTTTCATAGTTTCATAGCAGTTTGAACTTGTTACAGGAGGCTTTTCAATGAAAACGGCCATTTATCGCAATATGCTCATGGGGTAAAAGGTTAATCAACAATGTTTTACGACCTAGTTCTAGTTTATTTCAATTCATATGTTAATTCAATATACGTTGCCTTCAAAAAACAAAGTTTTCAAGTGAATGAAATAACAATTTCTTTGTTTATGTTAAAATAATCTTATCTTTTTTATCAATGATCTGAATAGAAACAAGTAATCATGAATCAACACCTATGTTTTTTTGGTTCATGGAATGAGCATTTTTGCTTGTTAGGCGTGAAAAATAGGTGAACGAGATAAAGGTTCTGATATCTGCAATATAATTTGTGCAGAAAATGTAAGGTAATGAAACGTGAACGGAAATGCAACATTAAAAGAAAAGGTGCATGCATACTGAAAAGTGAAAGTTATAAACAATTTATAACGAGATATCAGCGGTTTGTCTAACTTGTAAAACTTATCCTGTCTGAAAAGCCTAGATTATAACGAAATATGTGTTTTATCTGATTTGAAACCAAACTCTTATCAGTGATCAAACATGTTTTATTAAAAAAGTTATCTATCTTAAAAAAGTATCATTCATCCCTTGCAAGCACGTATAACAATAATAAAAGGCGATAACTGAGTTTGTTCGTGAATGATATGATAGGTCCAACATATCTTACTCCCCTAGCACTGATTTTATCGGCTATTAATCCTTAACTCTTAACGTCTGAGCTCCAATGATTCGGTACAATAATATATGACAACACTTATATTAAGTTGCAAACTAAGTTTGATCTTTCTTCCTATTTAAAAGTTTGTATAGATCTTCTTTTTCTTTCTCGTTTGCATTAATATACACACAATGAACACAAGTCAGTTGAATTGTCTATTAGCAAACAAAATCACGATGAAAATAAAAATCGTGTTAAATTATTATACTTAGACACTAAGGATCGAACATGGACTATTTCAATTTATCATCACAGCTATGTAAGGATACACCCTTTTTCCAAAAGAATCAAGTTCATAATAAAAAGAAAGCAATACATACACGTGTAATTTGACATTAAAAGGACATAAAAATAAAAGATAGCAAAAGTATATTTCTAAAGAAAGTATAAAATTGACAACATTAACATTTACATTTTACCGTTTTTTCTGATAAAAACAAATGTTTGCTTCAAAGTGTTTTAATGGGGGGAAGCATTAAAAGTTCTAAGATCATTTTTAAAATGTAAATATTTCTAAAAACGTGTTTTAAAATGTACTTTTCTCTATAATGTATTTATTTTACCTCTTGACCGGTTTGTTTCCTTCCCAATTGCGAATTGGTAATATGAAGAGGCTTATGTCATTATATTAACAAAAATAGTCAACCCCACTTTCTTCTTTATGTTGTTACCACACGAGGTCTCTTTCTAAATGGTTTTGCATTACACTGATGATCCATCAACGTTTATTGTTTCTGTGAGAATCAGAGATATTTTACAAACAGATTCAAAACTCATATGATAAACAAACTATATTACATTTGAGTTATGAATATGTAAGTTATTAGTGGCGTGTCTGTTGACAACAAAATACTTAATATATTTCATAAATACACAGCGCTTGTAGATACAGTAATGTAACACGGGTATGTAAGGACGGTTTATTCAATCATTATATCATTTTTACACGCAATCAACCACTTTTATTCTACACATTGGAAAACAAAAAAACAATCAAAAGATCACCCCTTTTCAGAAGCAATAACTACACAACGTATATTGATGAAAATAAGTGTTTGTGGACATGGTAAATTTTGGACATTTCCATTCTTTATTTATAGCTTTAAGTTTATATTTTGGAAAACAATGTATAAAAATTCTTAACAGACAGGGAAAAATATTGTTTAGAAAATAATAAAGTTAACAGTTAGCTCATAAAATGTTTTAAGTTAGAAAAAGAAATAAATGTGAATGTCATTATGTCTAAATGTTAACAACACGTAATCAAAACTTTTAAAAGGTGGTTCCCTCAACAGTCTTAAAAATATTTTAAACAGAAGTGATTGCAGATTGTGTTTTTAATACTCCGTTAGTACTGTATATGAATATATGGTAGATTAAGACCCTTACACCGGTTTTATACATCTTCTCCTTGAAATTTCCAAACTATCTTAGAAAGTAGATAAACCAGATAAAGCACATACATGTCATTGTTATCCATTCAATGAATATATTTTAGATTCCCTGGTTTTCCTGGAACAACCAATCTAGCCGAGTTTGTATACATATATTTCTTCATCTCAGTCATGATTCTATTCACCTTTTATATCTATGTCATATAAGCAAGGTAACAAACCAGCAAGCAGAAGACCGGATATTCAGATGTCCGTTTTCTGATGTTGTAAACACGATTTAAGTGTTGGGTTGTTTTTAATTTTAATTTATCTGGGTTTTTTGTGGACATTTTTTGGCAACATTCGGAATAGAATGAATGAAACACTTTATGGATTTAATTTTGATCCAATTGTGATGGAATTACATGAAAATACTTTTAAAAAGAGGCCGGAGAAATGAGTCAAGCAAAGGTCTTACGGAGATTTTATTGATATATCCTTATCTGAAAAAAGCAGAGTACAAATAAGAATTTATAGCACTGTATGGTGTGTGATAATTTATGTATTCATCTGTCCGATAAATATCCGCATTATACAGAGAAAAGTCCCCTATCGTGACCTATTTGATAAAGATAAATTCATGAATTGACTTCAAATCTTTTTCTATTATCTTCTAATCATCTATACCATCATGGGAAGTTTTGCATTTGCATAATAAGACTTTCAATAGCGATAGGAAAGCGGAGTTGATTGTACAGAGAGTAACGGTGTCTAGAATTTATTACAGATCAAATAGAAAATTAGCTTTCCTGACAAGAAAACCGCCTTAAAACCACTAAAGTAGATTAATTTGTATTTTCTGGTTTAGATAAAACATTTATATTTCAGCTTTAAATACACATATTAAGAGGCATGTTATCTAACAGGTAGCTAAGAAGTACACCTATTTTGAACTTTAATCCGATTTAGATCAACAATAAGGTAATAAGGCTATGAAGGGCATCTGATTCAAGACAATGGTTATATATCTCTTCTCAAAGTATAAAAAAATAATGCTCATTTTATTAAATTAGAGACGACCATAAGTTCAGTCAGTGGTTGACATTAAATAATTTAGCTTTTATATCTACTACACGTATCTTTATCAAGTCAATATCTTTCTTTTTACGGAGTCAATGAACCATTTGATGAAATATTATTTATCTTTGTGTCTGCCTTCTGTGCTTAAAAAGAATGCATCCGAACTAATATTAAATTACACAATTGTCTTTTAGGAAATAATTTAAACTAGAATTCAAATATTTGCTGAGATAAATCACCCTGAAACATTGAAGGTATCATTTTGAGAAGAAAGAATAAAAGCGCTTGATAAAAACGACTAAAATAATTTGGTCTAGTGATCATATTTTTTAGCCAGTCATTTAGTCTATTTTGTCAGCATCTTCCTTGATTTGATTCAAGCAGAGGGTAACAGTGGAGTATAGCGGACTTCGTGGGCGTCGTATCAGCTTCTTTTTAGCGCAATCCTATTAACAATTTGAATTCGTATTAACACTTTTAGTTTTCACGGGCGCACGTTAAAGGTTTAATCGGTCCACAGGTAAAACCGAGTGTTATACAATAACTGGTTAATATTACTGGTTGGTTCACGAATGTTTTATGATCATTATAAATTGTTACACAACTAAACGTATATTAATCTCACTGTATATAGTAAAAGCAATTATTTTTTAATAATATATTTTTTTGTCATAATCTTCTAACTGAAGATAAACTTTTTACGGTGAAGTGTGTAATATCTTTTCCGGCTAATGATTTGTTAGGACTACGACTTTACATTGTTTGTATGCTTTATGATTGTCTGTATACAAAAAAAGATTCGGTACACAAATCATAAAGAAAAAAGTCAGCTTTATTGAAAAGGCAAACATGTGTCTAATAAACAAACGTTTTGATATTTCTTTATATCGTTTTGCGATCCAGACATGCTCATACACAGATGTCAAAAATGATTTCTTATGACTGAGGTCATCGTTTTCACAGACGTAAGCTAACATATTAAGATTGGCTTGGTAAATTGAAATAATGCTAGCAGCGGTGTCACTAAATAGGAAAATACATTTTGATAAGCAAATTGAGGTATCAAAAGTTCTGGAACGACTGTTCTCCTGACAGCAATAGAAACAAATAAAAAATACTCGTAGACTTTGTTTAATATAGTCTTGTTCACGAGTTCATAAGATATAATGGGCAATGCAACATCTCTCACAGATTATCATCCCTCACTTACAATCGTGAGTTCGTATTAATGTTATATCAAGTTATGTTTTTATATTCAAATACGAATTCGAACCGTGTACAGTAGTAACAAAAGTTTCTAATTTATCATTCCAATTTATCAATTGGAGGAATATTACAATATTTACAGTGTATATACAGCAATATGTTAGTTATACATGTAACAAAAGTTTATCTCCAATCATTGTATAACGTATATAAATAATTATTTTTCTTTTAAATTCTAATATGTCAATTCAGTCTAAAGACGACATTCTTACTAGCCTGTCAACGGAAATACCATAAATTATTCTTGTGTAGGTTAAGTACGCCGATGTTCCTTTAAATAAGCTAAAATAAATAAATTTATCTTCCTATTAAACATGTATTACATAAAGATCATATAATTATATAAAATGCGTATCAACGTGAAATATTTTGTGATTAACATATATTGACTTCTATACAAGATACTTTTAACTAATTGTAATAATTGCCAAAATGCTTATGACACAAAAGATGGTTTATTTATTATATTTATGTATGGGTACAAACCAAACGAAAAATAAAGATATAAAATCCAACAAAAACCAAAACAAAACACCCTGAAGAAAATAAAAGATAAAAATGTTAACAATGTTATGACAAATGAAAAACAGAAAAAGATTTTTAAGAATTATCAGTGTAATAAATAGTACGTAAATCGATAACATTCAAAAGTCTGTAATAATGCTATGTTTTACATAGAGAAACAGAGAGTCAACAAAGTAGTTTAAATGTTTCAGTACATTTGATTCATCGGACCTCTACTTGATTTATTCAACACACTTAATAAAAAGCAGATTACAAATAAGTGTTTATAGCACTGTATGGTGTGTAGGGGTGTAATCGATTCAATCGATATCGGTGTATCAACGATCTTTGCAATCCGATTCGATATCGATTCCATTATTTAAATATCGGGTATCGAATGCAAACAGTTTTCAAACATTTTTTTCCAAAACGAAAACGGAAATCAACGCCAAAATTACCTCCCCGTGTATCTGACGAATGCTGCCGAATTTCGTTGTGATCTCGCATGTCTGCTTAGGCGTTGGAGAGACCCCGAATTCAGATTGATAATTGATAATAGAAAAGTGCCAAGAAAATTTTAGATAGTGTTTCTTTGTGCAAATTTTGATTACAAAATGTTAAACTTTAATAAATATTCAGGTTTTAAACACTATAATTTGCCCATTAAACCCCCGGTTAGTTGGAACGTTAAGGACGGCATTTAGCCTAAACCTTAACTACGTAATAACATATACAACAACAACAAAATCATGGCTTTAAGAAAGAAAACAAGCGACGTTTGGAATCACTTCACGTTTGCGGGAAAGAACCAAGTAAATTGCAATATTTGCAACAAAATCCTTCCCTACAGCGGTAATACTACCAACCTGCGAAGCCATTAAGATAGAAAACACTGGTCAGTCGTTCATCGCCCACCGGTAATGTACATTTCGTCAATCATCTGAGATTATTTAGCTGTTATGCAGTGTCTATTCTGGGATTTGAAAAACAGGGGGAGGGGGATTTTTATCGAAAAGGGAGAATTTATTTTATAATATTTACTGATTTTTATTCCTTCTTTCTATATGTATCCTGCCTCTGGGAAAATAGGTGGGGGGGGGGGTCTCAAAAATAGGAGTGAATCCCCCATCCCCCCTCCTAGAATAGACACTGGTTATGATAAACATTTTAACTGATTTTTCACAATAAATAAAATAGAAAGGTCATGTGGCTGACCCTTGTATATCTTAAAAACTCAGTAAGAAATGTATAATTGTTCTATTTGTAGCAATGAAATAAAGCATCAAAGCTTTCAATGTTTTGATCTAAATTTTTTTAATAAATAGAATAACACTATCACTTGATAATTAATGCATGTGGTAAATTAATAAATATTTCAACACTATATTTTTTTGTATTTTATCTTTTCAGCTTCAAGTGAGCAATGATTCTGTGACAGTCAGTACGAGTAGGTATACCAGCAGTAATATCTCTATGAAGTCTGATTTTCCATCACTACCAAGTCTACCATCAATGCAATTATCAGACCAGAAAGATCAAGTAACGGTTCAAATTACACTCCAACAACTTGAACAAACAACAGTTCCTAGTCTTTTTAACAAACATAAACCATTTTCTCTCAATTCTAGTCAAGCAACAACAATTTCTCAAGGAATTGCTGAATATATAGTAACGGATTTGAAGCCATTAACTACAGCTGAAGGTGAAGGATTTAGGAACTTGGTAAAATTACTGAAACCCCGCTATAATATTGTATCAAGAAATCATTTGCTTGAGAAATACATTGTGCCTATGTATCATAATACTGTTGATCAAGTCAAAAGAGATCTAGAGAAGGGTATGCGGCATGCTTTTACAACAGATGGTTGGACATCAATTAATGCTGAAAGTTATATTACGACAACATGTCACTACATAGACATAACTACTTTTCAGCTTTGTTCTAAAGCTCTTGACACAAAATGCGTTCATATCAGTCATACATCTGAGAATCTTGCCCAGGAAATGAAAGTTTGTATTAACAAATGGAACCTGCAAGATCCGGTCGGTGTAACCGACAATGCTGCAAATATTGTAAATGCATGCAATATCGCTGAATTACCACACGTGGGCTGTTTTGGACACACATTGAATTTAGCAGTTAACAGATGTCTTGCAGTTAATGAAGTAAGTGCCTTGATTGGGAAGTGTAAAAAGTTAGTATCTGTGTTTAAACAAAGCTGTCTTAAAGCAAGTGCCCTTCATGAAGCTCAAATTTCACTTGATTTGAAACAGCTGCAGGTTATCCAAGATGTAGATACCATTTGGAACTCTGCACTCGCAATGATTAAAAGACTTTTAGAGACTATGCCTGCCATTTGGACAGCATTATATAAAGACAAAAAGTATTCTCACTTGCTGCCAAGTGATATAGATAGGAAAAACATGGAAGATTTAAAAGATTTGCTTAGTCCAGTAGAAGAAGCAACTATAAGAGTATCTGCTGAAAAATCTGCAACAGCAAGTTTGATTCTGCCCATGATGGAAAGGTTTATCAAACATGACTTTGTGTCAAAGACTACTGATAGCCTCTTATAAAGAAAGCAAAAGATGCTATAAAAACAGATCTGATGAAAAGGTATCAGTCAGAAGATGTGAGAAAACTTCTTGGAATGGCAACAGTGCTTGACCCTAGATTCAAGAACATGGTATGGATCAGTGATGAACAGGAAGTTGTCTTTAATACTTTGATGACTGAATTGTCTCAGGAACTTGATAAAGTAAAGGTCAAGACAGAATTTGACACTGAAATAATTGTAGTGTAGTTCAAAGCCCTGAGTCAGTTCAGTCTGAAAACCCAAATGCAGATGTAATAGATGTAAAGGATGAAAATCTTAATCTGGTGAAAAAACCAAAGTTAGATGCTTCAGATGATGATTTCTTTGATGTTCTGTTGATAAAAGAGGAGAAAAGTTCAGAATCAAACCAATCTGTAATGAAAGCAGAAATAGAGAGATATAAAACAGAAACAGTGTCCATGAAGCAAGATCCTATTGAATGGTGGAAAATAAAGAGAGAAATTTATCTTAACCTTTCAACTTGTGCTTGTAAATATTTACACATTCCTGCTACTAGTGTTCCTAGCGAAAGAGTTTTCTCAACAGCTGGAAACATTTTGAATAAGAAAAGAGGCCAGCTCACAGCTGATAATGTTGACATGCTTTTATTCCTGTACCATAATTACAAAAAAGTGATGCTATTGCAGTAAAAGACTTACAGTTTGGATTTGCCAGTTTCTTGTTTTCTGTTTCAGTGTTTATCATATAAAGTGCTAGACTGCATTGTTACTACAAGATGTTTAAGTCAAATGTTGACAATCTTGACAGTTAATGTCAGTTATTGAGTAATACTTAGCAGATAATTACTTAACTCTAGTCATGTGTGTCTTTTAATTGCAATAATCCATTGACATTTAAACATAAGGGTGACAGTACTGTTTGGTAATTTGAAAGTGGTTAACAGTTTATAATTACTAGTCATTAGTTACCCTAGTTATTATAAGTTATAATAATTAAAAGAAACAAATTGAAAAGTTTTCATAGTTTATTTATCTTTTTTGCTTTATCACATGTTTTCTTCACAAAATGCATATGTTTAAATATAAGTCTACATAGTCAGTGTCCTTAGGAAACATTGAAAGCTAAATTTTTGCCTAGCAATCGATATATCGCTGTATCGCCGATAATTCCTTATCGATATAGCGATACAAATATATTATCATAGGTTAATTAAAGTAAATCATCTAGTTTTAGTGAGTATCACCCTTTAACGTTGTAGTATTTATGGTATTCAGTTTTGCACGACTTTTCCTATGAGCTGCTTCCCTGACTGAAGTAACGTAGAACGACGTACACGGATTGTTAAAAAAGCCTGCTAATTCATGAGCCCATTTTATTCCATAAAATACCTCGTCAACGCTTGAGAAAGACTTACCTTTTTGAATTAACGAAACCAAATAAAGGCAGACATCAGATTCCGAAGCCGGAAGTGGTGAAATTCTGAATTTAGATGCCCAACGACTCCATGTTTGAAAAGTTCCTTGATACTTTTTACTGGTATAAGGTGATTTAGATTGAAGAACTATATCTGAAACACGATCAGCCAGGAAAGACAACTCCGGATTCTGGTAATTCCTTGTCTCTAACTTCAGTGCAATTAGATCTGCAAAACGTATAAGAAGAGAATGAAATATAATAAATACTCATATTAATATCATTACATATATATGTTTTAAATATGTAAAATAAACACAAACATGAAAAATATATACACAAATTATAGAAGTTGACTTAATAACGTCAATAAGTCGGCAAATTTATTAACGCCGTCAGGTCTGCGATGAATATAAGCTTTACGCCGTCAGGTCGGCGGTAAAAATAAGCTCTACGCCGTCAGGTCGGCAAAGAAATATGAATAGACCGCAAGGTCGTCAAAAAACAACTAAAACAGTTCAGTCGGCATAAACTAAATAAAGCCGTCAGGTCGGCAACAACTTTACACCGTCAGGTCGGCGGAAAATTCTATCAACGCCGACAGGTCGGCGAGAATCGATAACATATTAACCATCACTATTTGTACAATCCAGCCTAATAGCAAGGACTTTACTATGGAAATCCGGACCAAAAATCGTGTTCTTGTTTAAATATTGAACAAAAATATTCCGCCCGGATGAAAACATTAAAATATCAAGAATATGAGCTTTCTTAATACTGTTGTCTCCAAACAACATTGGCCAAAACGGCGCCGAAGGCCAATTTGGAATAATTAAAGTTCCCTTAGCTTTGCACTTCTCCAAGTAATTTATAACCTGTAGAACAATACTTATAGGGGGCACAAGCCAATTATTTTCCCCAGCCCAAGAACAGGAGAAGGCATTCACAGCCTCTGTTTCAGGGACCCAAAACCTAGAATTAAATCGAAGTATTCTATTGTTGTTATGATTGGCAAATCTGTCAACAGTATGAGTGCCCCATAAATCATCCATAAAACAGAAAAAATCATCGGAAACTCCCCGGTTATCTACATCACAAAATTTGCTAATACAGTTTGCAATTTCGTTTTGGCTCATTGGAACCCATTCAGTTAACAACGAAATATTTTCTTTCAAACATAGATTAAATATTTTAATAGAAATCTCGTGCAAACAAGATTTTGTACTTCCGTTTTCTACAATTCGTACACAATTTTGATTATCTGTACAAAGAAGCACTTGCTTGCCTTTTAGTTTAGGCATGAAACTTTCAATTGAAAATAATAACACAGACAGTTCTCTCCAGGTAGAACTTTCTTTTTGTTCATTAATCGACCAATTTTTATGACAGACTTGATCATTTTCGCCTTTGATAAAAGCCCCACATGCCTTACTACTTGCATCTGAAAATATAGTAACATAATCTGACCCATTGTGAGTAAAGAGATACTTCACAGGTGTTTCCTTGAACTGATTTTCCCAGAAATGAAGCTCTTGAAAACATCCAGTGAAAAAATGAAATATTTAAAACCGAATCCCAAGATGACCTAGATTCTATAGCTCTGTGAAGATTTTTTGTCATCAGTTTGCAAACATTCCCTATAACTGGCATGATTGAGACAATCTTCCCTGTTAATCTAGCGATTTCTCTGCCAGTCAAAAAAGGTATTTTTACTGAATAAGCATGCACAAGATCTACAACACTGACTAATAGTCTGCTAGGGATACTGATAGTATTTTCTTGCAAATTCCAAACTATAGTTTACGTAACCATTCAAGAATTTGAGTAGGAACCAAAACTGACTTTTGCAAATTCAAAACAAAACCAGCCTGTAAAAGCACTGGTTTAACAAATTCAGCATCTTTTAAGGTCAGTAAATAATTTCTATTTACACCCCAGCCATCATCTAGAAATAACACTAACCTGACCCCATTTTCCCGGATGTATTTAACAATATCTCTCAAACATTTGGTAAAAATAAAGGGGGACGGTGAAAGACCAAATGGTGAAACAGTGAAAACGTAATAGTTTTTAACATTGTTCTCTGACCAAGAAAAACCTAAAAAACACTGATGAGTTGTGGATATATCAATTTGATGGTAAGCAGAAGTTGTATCAAATTTAAACATAAATCCGTCTTTATAAAGATATTCATATGCAACTTTCCAGTCTTCAAATTTAAAATGTTCTTTCCAAACATATTTGTTTAAAACACTTAAATCCAAAATAAGACGCTTTTTACCTTGGCTATTTTCAGCTACAGATAAAGGACTAACAATATAAGGCACAAAACTAACTTTCAAGACAGAACCGGAACTCACTAATTTTGCCACGGCTTCAGAGACAAATTTTGAATGTTTAAGAGCGGACTTATTATTTTTCATGACATAACTTTTGGAACTTCTAAAAACGGAATTTTGTAGCCGTTCTTTATTACATCCAAAATAAAAGCAGGTGCCTTTAAGGTATCTTCCCAAAATCTATAATGATCACGCAATCTACCTTTAACATTAAAAAGATCGCTTCATTTATTAATACTATTTTGACTGGATAAATTTTGATATTCAAAATATCTGTTTTGTAACAAAATGTTTTTAAAGTCTTTATCATTATTGTAAATCATATCTAGATATGAATACTCATCTTTCTCATCACTGCTTTGAAATGGTGGCCTTTGACTGCTGATCTTGCTTGAGCTGCATGAACTGCGAGACTTGAGGTTGTTTTGTTTTTTGTGTTTTTTTATCTTTTCTCACAGTTGATTTACCTTATTAGATGGTAAATAATTTATTTCCGGTTGAGAGAAACGAATTAGGAAATAAAAATCCTTATCAATGACACCCCTAATGGTGTGTAATAATAATTGCCTCCATCTTTCCGATAAATATCCGCATATAAATATACAGTTAAACGTCCCCTATCGTGACCTATTTGATCAAGATTCTAGTCCTAATTATAAGACCTATACGTAACCTATTTCAAATTTATCATTCATTGATATGATATTTTACATTTTTCATTTTCCATGTTACGTTAGGTCTTAACAGATCTTTGCAAAATCGTGTAGCAAAAAAATGACATTAGACATCGATTTAGATCTAATGCATTTAAACAATTAAGACAGCTTGTATTTACATTAATTTTGACCAATTTATGAACAAAACTAAAAAATAAATACCTTTTAACAAAATAATTAAACTGTCACATCCGATAAGTCATGATTAAATCCTCTCATTTAATTAAATTACTTGTACAGCCGATATACAAATGGCCGCCATATAGTGCGCGAAATCTGATTGGCTAATTCAAATGCAAGCGTTTAAAGGAGTCCAGAAGTTTCTAACGGAATATTTTTTCAACGAAATAATTGCCCATGCACCGTCAGTGTGTTCGAATATATTTTTCCGTTCAAAAAATTGGAATCAATCTGTAAAACGCTTTACTTAACCAGTATGGCCGATGAGCGAAATAGATTGATATTTATATTTTATTTTAAATTGATAAGTACATTGTTTGAGAGTTTTTGTTAATGATAGACCATGCAATTGAAAGAACAGAAGATAAGCTTTTGAATAAAGCTTGAAAAGCAAGTCAACAGACTTTTTTTTAATTTTTCAAAATGCTATGGGTTTATGAGCAATAACTATTAGACGTCAGGCTTGACCAACATATAACTATAACAAGCCTGTAACGTCTAATATATTGGACTAGATAGATTCATGAATTGACCTCAAATCTTTTTCTATTATCTTCAAATCATGTATATCATCCGGAGAAGTTTTGCATTTGCATAATAAGACTTTCACGAATGGAGTGAATTTAGAGATAGGAAAGCGGCGTTGATTGTACAAAGCGTAACGAGGTCTAGAATTTATTACATATTAAATAGAAAATTAGCTTTCCTAACAATAAAACAGCCTTAAAACCACTTCAACAAATAAATTTGCGATTACTGGTTTAGATAAGACACTTAAATTTCAAATTAAAAAGACATATTCAGCCGCATGTTTACTAACAGGTAGCTAAGATATGTAAACTATCTATCTATGGCATATGCTATCACATGTGAAGAGAAAGCTGATAACATGTGATAACATGTATACAGAAAATAGATTTATTCCAGCCATTTTAGTTTCAGTTATCAAACAAATTACTCGTTACATTTGACATGGACATCCATAATCGGAACTTGAAGGTGTAAAAACGCAAGAACACATGGATGCATTAAATAAATAAA